CGTCGGCGCGGGTTCGCGGACGCGGGAGCGGACCTCGACGACGTTCTTGCGCGCCGTCTTGAGGGTCTCGCGGGAGGCCTCGCCCCGGAGCCTGTCCGCGAGCTCGAGGAGGTAGAGCGTGTAGCAGCACTTCTTGAGCATGCGGTTCTTGACGTGCATGGCCTGGAGGTACTTGAGCTCGACGATGAGGTGGCCGTCGTCCAACCTGTGGCGTCCCAAGGGCGCGTCGGGCGAGGCTCTCGACGCGTCGAACGAAGCTCTGGGGCGCGTCGAGAAGGACGCGGGGTCGCGCGACGTGATGCTGATCCAGCCCTCGATGCCGAGGTACGGGATGAACACGCGGACGCGCGGCACGATCTCCTTCTCCGCGATGGGCGCGAGGGGGTCGATGAAGTGGAAGCCCAGCTCCTTGATCTGGACCTCGGCGCGGCCCGGGGCCGTGCCTGCGAGGGGAAACGATCTCGCGAGCGCGCGGAACGACGGCCGTCGCAGACGCGGGAACGCGCCGATGACCTCGCTCGTGACGACGAGGTCGACCGTGATCTTGATCGTCTTGTCCGGGTGCACGTAGTAGGTCTGGCCCAGGAGCTGGCAGGCGAGCGAGTCCTCGTAGACGCCGACCGTGGAGCGCCTCACCTCCATGTCGACGCGCGTGAGCTCGAAGTTCGAGTCGAGCGCGATCGCGTCGATGGTCTGGACCACGACGTTGAAGCGCACGGACCAGGAGAGGCGGAAGTCGAGGTTCGGGAAGAGGCGCTGGAGGCGCCTGCGACGCGTAACGGACCACATCAACGGCCGTCGCGCGTACGACGGGCTCGTTTCGGACGCGACGTCGTCCGCGCGACGCGCGAAAACACACAAAAAAAGACGCGGGTTGCGCGCCGCAGGTCGAAGCGCGCCCGGATGGCCTCCGTCGTCATCGTGTCGCCGAAGTCGGAGAGCGCCCACTCCCGCGGCCGCGGGACCTCGAGCTCGCCGCAGTTGCGCCTGCGAAAACGTCGAAGTCTCCGCGAAGCTCTCGAACCCCTCGAAGGCGTCGAAGCTCGCAATCGCGCGCGTCGAGGGGCCCAAATCATTTCCGGCGACGGCGCGACGCGTGCGCTGCGGACGCCGGCGCAAAACCGCTCGGCCTCGCGGAGGA